AGCGGTTCATGAGAGTACATGTTTATGAAGATGGCAAAGAGAAGGGCAAAGAGACAACACATGTGTCCATGGCAGTGAAATCAAGTACTACACTTTTGGTTCGGGCAGTTTTCAGTGTTTTTTTTTATAGTAATTAACAAATGTTAGATAAAATAATTTATATATGAGTTCAGTGATCATATTAGATTGTATTTGGATTTTCGAAAGTTCAAATGTTTGATTTAGGGATAAAAAAAAATCGGATCGAAAAATATATGAAAATATATATTCATCTTGAGTTTGGGCTAAAATAGAATATATTTTTTAAAATCAAATTAGTTGTGTGAATATAAAGTAAGAATTGGATATAAATAAAAAATTTGATTATTATATATTTCAAATGGATATTCGGTTGTTTATTTTTGTGTATCGAGCAAAACATATTTATATATGACATATGATAGCGATAGATTGATATATATATTCTTTGTTAAAAACATGCAAGTAAAAAAAAATTGCTATAACAGAGAAGTTATACGAGAGTGTGTAAAATCCGGTTAACGAATAAACTGACCGGTTTTACCGAAAGTTTTCTATTTGTGTTTCACATTTTTTAAAACCCAAGAAGTATCATTAAATACTCTATTTATTAAATAAACACGAAAACGTTAAAACAAAAAAGTTAATGAAAACATAAAATTTAACCAGTTTACATTCGGTCGTAAATTTGAAAAGTTATACAAATTTGGGTAGAGAAATCAATATAGAGAATCGATTAATGATACCGGTTTAAATTTTTACATTTGACCAGTTTTATTGTAATATTTGTTTACTTTACTGGAATGATAAGCAAATGGTCTAATAAAAAATTATGGTGTAGTCATTCATTTACTTAGAAAATATTTGAGTATTCATTTTTTATTCGACAATATAATTTATATTAACATCTTAATATATTTGTCCATTTTATTTTATTTTTATTTAGTTTGCTTATAAAAATAATTAACCTTCTCAAATAAAATTATTTTTAAAATAGTTATTTTCTCTAATATAGAAACTATTAAAGTTTTAATTGGATGTAATGTGAAATATGAGTTTGGTTGGGAAAGGCTCCACTAATTGTCATTGGATTTTTATTTTGAAGATTCTTGAGAGACTTATCGAATTGAGTCTTGAAATATATAATTCGAGTAAAAAGTCATCCGAGACGAGTCCTAATATTGGCAATCTGAGTTTGGTAAGTAACATTTTATATGAATCTCCAACTTTTATCATGAATGTTTGTACGTAGATCTTTGACATATGAGAACTAATTCAATTCCTTCATCACATAATAGAAAATCTTAGGATGAGTAGTGTACAATCTAATAAACAAATTGGGATGATAAGAACAATAAGAATCAAATTTCATAAAATATAGGTCGAAGTAAATGAAAAACTAAACTAAATGATATTTCAACTCATATTTATTTAAATTAAATGTGAATCGATTTTATACGGGTTGTTGAATTATTGTTATTATTATTATTATTATTATTATTATTGAGATAATATATATATACATGTAGCACACAAATATGAAATAATCATAGTTTTAATATTTAAAAAAAATTACCAAATCTTAGTTTAGAAAAACATAATATAATGACCGAAATAACCGAACCCGAAATAACTGTAAAACGATATATTATTTTGGGTTCGGTTATTTCGGATTTGAGATATTCATATCCAATATGATATATTATTTTAATCAGTTCGATTCAGTTCGGATATATATCAGTTGGATTGGGTTTAGACAGATTTTTTATCATATTTTTTTGGCGTTTGCGTTTAGGAGCTTATTTGATAGAATATATAAAGTACATGTATATTTCAGCGAATAAGTATAAATGTAGCGATTCATGGAGATGATTGAAACTCAAGCTGAGGGCTATCGGTAAATTCCTCATTTGACCTTTTTTGAGCTAAGGAAGCTCGATAAGTTGGTTTATTTATACGTCTCTAATAACTTGCTCACGGGTTCCATAACATATTTTCTCAAAGGCATGTTAAGCTTGATCGAGGTTAATTTCTGTATTAACCTCTTAGATGGTCAAGTTCCAATCTTTGTTCCATTCCAAAAGTCTCTAAACTCAAGCCTTTCTGGAAACAAAGGGCGTTGCGTGGGACTATTGAACACTTTATATAGATATCCTGATGGATTTGAACACTTGAAATATAATCGAAAGATTTCATAAAGGATGATATTGATTGTAATAGGTTTTGTCATGGTTGTATTTGTATCAGTTATTGTGGTGGTTCTGCTCTTCATGATGAGGGAGAAATAAGAAAAAACAAAGGCTTCGATGTTGTGACAAATCTCGAGGATAACTACCCGATAATCATGGAAGAAAACGTCTTCATCAAGAATATTGAACATGAGTTTGATCTAAGTGCAGTTGTGAAAGCAACTATGAAGGAATCAAACAAACTCAACACGAGAACTTTAATTTCAATCTACATAGTTATTATTGGGTTTTTGTTTTAAAATCTTTTAGAGATTTATTAGATTGTATTTTGACGGGCATATTCTAAATGAAATATCAGTAAGATCAGACCATCATAGTTCAGATGTGGTTAGTGTCACTTTCTTTAAGTGCTTTACTTTTGTTGATTTAGCGATCATAATTTAAAAAATTATGAACTATAAAATGATGATAATGTGTTCACGGTGTCCAATCAACCTAATCCTTATTTTCTTCATCTTTTTTTATTTTACAATGTGAAACTTTTTTTTATTCTTCTTTTTAAACGTTAAAAAATTAATATTTCATTTTAAAAAAAAATTCTTTCTAAAAATATTATTCTAACCCTTATTATTTTTATAATAACCGGGTATCCTATACCGAGTTCAAACTAATTTCGAATCCGGGAGCAAGTCATGTGATTAGAATATGCGCTCTTCTCCCCAACTTGAGGCTCAAAGTCGAGGTCAGACAGACGCTTTGCTTTTTTTTCACCAGTTGAGTTTTCCAAATTAGGTTCTGACCTTTAATTTTATATTATAACACACGAAAATATAAAATAAACACGTTATTCACGATCATTTTTTGAAAATAAAAGATACTGTTATCTCAATATTATTAAAAATTATTTATCATTTTGATTTAAGATATGTATTATAAATTTAAAAGTAAAATATAATATATTTAATTTTAAAACTAATAATATTTTTTTAAATAATTTATACGGTCCGCGCGAATCGCGCGGGTTAAAACCTAGTAACAATAGAAAACATCGCTGCAAATACAGTCCAATACCAATAGTCACAAAGGAGACTTTGGCTTATTATAGCTATTAGCACACACAAACATAACTAAAATCCCGAATCCGATAACGAAATCAGATTCTTGATCATTTAGTTCTCGTCGTAGTAGCGTTCAAGAATCTGTGTCCTGACGGATAAAGGGATGGTCACATTATGAGCAGACTCGGTCCAAGTCAAGCTCCCAAAGTAGAACCCACTGTTCACTTTGTGTCCGGTCGAGACTCGAACCGTGAAGGAGACCCTTTTGGTAGTAGAGTTGAACACGATCATGTCTGGTGTCACGGTCACACTAACGCCCAATGGTGGCTCGACCACGACCTTATAGACCGAGTCTACTGGTCCGACGTTAGTGACCGTTCTTGTGAGAGTGACCTCGTTTCTAAGATCTGGAATCGTGATTGAAGGCAAGTTTAGATCAAGAATCGATGGCCTAGGGTTCGGACAAACTGTTGCGTTTTTGACGATCTGGGAAATGGAGGAATCGTTGTAACCAACAGAACACATGTAGTGGACATAGTCTGATGTGCCCATGTCGTAGATCAGACCAGGATCTGCGGCTTTCTCTGGATTCACAAGGCCTCCTCCGTAGTCGAATGGATCAGCTAATTTCCTGTTCGATCCGTCTGCGAAGATTGGTTCTCCAGAAGGATCGGTTTTCCAAGCTGAAAATTAAGAATGGTGAAAAGGGTCAGTGTGTTTCTTTGGTTATAATCTAAACGAAAATCTCGGAAGATTGGTTAAGAACCTGTAGTGACAATAGCTGATCTAATGGCAGCTGGGGACCAGTCAGGGTGTGAAGGCCTGAGAAGAGCTACAATGGCTGAAACAACGGGAGTAGCCATTGACGTCCCTGACATCATATTGAATCTTCCATCACCTAATACGTCATTGGGAGAGGTTGCTGCCAATATATTCACTCCCGGTGCTGCTATATCCGGCTGCCTCAAGAATTCTCAGACGTGTCATACATTGCGAAAAGGAGAATCTAATGGCTTGGAAAAACGTACGAAGCGTTTTGGCCTACCTTCAGAACTGCTGGAGAAATCGAACTAGGTCCTCTCGACGAGAAAGTCGCGACCTTTGTAGCCACGGGTTGTCCAACGAGCGTTTTCGAGGGCTGTATCTTCACAACAGGTGATCTGCAGGTAAATGGTTCGAATGGAATATGGTTCTTTTTTATACAAATTCGATACCTCGTATCAGTAAAAGTTGATGAAGATACCGAGTGGAACGTATGTAGAACAATATGTCGGTCCCGAGCTCGTAATCCACGGCAACACATGGAATACTGCCACATGGAATAAGAGTGTGGCCTGGGTTCCTTGCCACTATAAAGTCGAGACCTCCAGCTTCGTTTACAGCAGCTGCAGCACTTAAAACAGCCGTGAAATCTGTCTTTGACGTGAAACACAAGACAACTTTTCCCACCATTGTCCGGTTGGGAATGGCAGAAAGTTTCTCACAATCTCTGCACGTTAAAGATAAATGATAATGTCAGAGAGCGAGAGAGAGAGAGAGGGATCTGACACTGAAACTCGTGTCTTCTTTTGTGAACGTCGATCCAAATGGGAAATCAGAGACAAAATTTACCATGAAAATGATGTCAGAGATTTGATCTTACCCTGAAACGTTCTGTGGATAGAGTAGAGAAGTGAAACCAAGTTCTTGACCGACGTACAGTGCCTGACCCTGCAATAAAGAAAGACAGATTACGATCAGATTCTAAGAGAGAGACGTGCTGGACAACATTTGATGTGTGTGTGTACACACACATACATACCAGTATAGTAATATTGTTCCCTAGTGTGATCGGAGTGGGAAAGGATCGGTCTTGAGTGGTTGCAGCCACTGTCAAGATCCATGGAGCCACGTTTACGACGGTCTGAGCAGCAGGGCCGATGTTACCAGCTGCACATATGACCGGAATGCCTTTTGCTACTGCGTGGAATGCTCCGACTGCAATTCCATCGTGGGTATCAATCTCTGGAAGGATAGGAATAGTGGGGACCCGAGAGAGATGGATAAGACATCAACACCGTCATGTACAGCTTCGTCTATTGCTCCCAAGATATCAGATGCCGTACAACTTGGTTGATGATTCCAACAAGGCTTGTATACAGCAATACGAGCACGAGGGGCACCGCCTCTCATTCTTCCTCTACCGAGGCCTACATAGCTTACGTTCGAAAGAAAAGAGCCTCCTGCCGTTGAAGCAACATGCGTGCCATGGCCGACATAGTCTCTCGGGGAAATGTACTCTGGATTCTCCGTTGTGTTGAAGTTTCCGGTCTCGGCAACGAGGCCGTCGATGAAGTACTTTGCTCCTATTAGCTTTCTGTTGCAATGTGTCGAGGCATTGAACCGTTGTCCTGATTGGCATCCTCCTTTCCAACGGCTCGGTATCGGTCCCATCCCTCTGTCATTGAACGATTCTGACTCGGGCCATACTCCTGCAAGTGATGAAGTGAAGTGAAGCTTTCCAACGGCTCGGTATCGGTCCACATTATGATTTTCAGGACATGACAAGAAATCGACAAATACATCGCAACAAACCTGAGTCAACTACACCGATGATTACTTGATCTCCCATGTTAGTATCGTTCAGGAGATTCTTGGGATGAACCGGAGAAAGTCCTAAGTAATCCCAAGTCCGAGTAGTCTCCAGTTCGTAGAATCTATCCGGTATGACATGAATAACTTCTGGTAACTCTGTTCGCCGTAAAAAAGAAACATTAACGATGACCAAACTCACTTCACTTGTCCAAAAAACAAAAGGCATATGATTCAGTGTTTCAGTAGTATAGAAGTCAAGAAACAGAGAAAGCTCAAAACTTGATTGAGTACCCGCGATTTGCTCGGCTTGGAGATCTGTAAGCTTGGCCGCGAAGCCTGAGAAGCCATGCCGATAACTGTATACCATGGAACCATGTGCTGCCTCTTTGCTGCAACATGGAAAAATGGAGCAAGAATTACATATCAGAAGCAGTTTGATATATGCATATCTACACGATTCATCAAATATGTACCTTCCAAGAAGTGACCACAGCATCTGATGATGAGAATCAGTGACAACCTCTGGATCATCATGTAGTTTTTCACCCAAATACACTATATGAACCTGCATGTGTTTATTTTGCCGACAACAAAGAGACAAAAAAAAACATAGTTTGGTATTACACAAGACTAGAAATAGTAAAAAAAAATTTAGTTTATTTGTCCAAAGAAAACACTAAACGGCCGTCCATGAATGCTGAGTACCTTTCTCTGAGCAGCTGCTCTTTCGAAAAAGCCGTTCTGTGCAACAAGAATCGATATCAGACCTATCCAGACAAGAACAGAGGTTGTTCTTTCCATTTTTTTTTTATATTTAATGGGGAAAATTGCAATTGAACTGAGATTTGCATAGAATTATAAGCAGATATATATAGACGGAGATATGGAGCACAATTCATATAAGCAACCGTCTAAGTAAGATTGCAGAGATTTCTGTGTTGGAAACTTCGTTAGACATGGACATGACAGATCTCTTTTTGTTTTTTGTTTTTGGATCCTCCTCCGTCACCAAGTCAGTCAACCATGAAAGCACTAAAAGGCCTTCCATGAATGCGCTGAGTACCTTACTCCGAGCAGCTGCTCTCGCGAAAAATCCGCCCTCTGCAACAAGAATCGATGTCAGACTTATCCAGACAAGAACAGAGGTTGTTCTTTCCATTTTGGGAATATATTTAACGCAGAATTGAACTGAGATTTGCATAGAAGTATAAGCATTATTTATATATAGACAGAGATGTGGAGCAGAATTCGTATAAGCAACCTTTTATATATGGCCGTTATGTATACACAACATGGAGAGAAAACCCGTCTTGCCTTCTTTTTTTTTTTTTTTTTGCTAAAAGGTTTTCTATTCCGTAAATTTCGTTTACATATTTCGACTGTTTTTCAACTTACATAAGGAGTTGAAAAGTCTTTATAACCAAAATAAGGGTTGGTGTCTAGAGTTCGTTATCTAGAGAACCAATATGTCCTAAAATGATAGGAATACATAAAAACTTGACCAGATATCAAAATAACCCAAAAGTTTAATCGAACCATCTAGAAGTAATTTCTGCTGCAAGGCGAGCTTTGGTTGGCCTAAGTGAAGCCGCAATGCGTCGTATGGTTTTGCCCAATTCCATAAAAGTAGCATCTGCGTCTGTATAAACAGATTGGTGTATCCGAAGATTCCGTTCCTGCCATATATAATATATCAATAATTTCCAAACGTGTAGGGCAATAGTCCTGGTGTTAGAGTTTCCCCAGTCCCTGCGCAACCAAGTTATTATTTCTTGCCAGCCTGTCGGTGGATTCCCAAGATTCAACTTTAAGCATACTTTGGTCCATAGCCTAGAGGAGTAAGAACATCGAAAGAGAAGGTGATCACGACTCTCATCTTGAGTATTGCATAGTAAACATTGTGGTTGAATCTGCATTCCCCATGCCCGTAATCTGTCATTGGTAGGATTTCGATTAAGCATGAATATCCAAGAGGTAAACGCAAACTTGGGAAAGTGACCCTTGAACCACACAAGGGGGTGCCAGGAGACTCGATCATGTCGTTCACGATGTGCATTCCATACAGCTTTGGAAGAGAATTTAGTCATGTTCCTACAATTAACAACCCAAGAATGAGCATCAGGTTTGTCTGGAACTAACCTGATGTCTAGAAGGTGGGTAATTAGCTGAACTTGAATCTCTGTTCGCGGATTTGGGATAAGCCATTGGTTGTCGCAGTAGACCGAAGATACTCGAGCCAATTTAGGAATTCCCAAATCAGAGGGACCAGAGGTGCCAATGACATCAATTAGTCTGCCCATCGGATGCCAATGATCGAGCCAGAAATAGGTTTCTTCCCCATTACCTATGTCTATCTTTGCAAACAACTTTGCAATAGGTCGCAGTTTTAGGAGGCGTCGGAAACTCCAGGAAAACCTCGGAAGAGGGTTCATAATCCAAACACAACGCCTTGCCATGTAGTGTTCATGTATCCAGGCTACCCACAATGATCCTGATCTAAGCCATAACAACCATATAAGTTTTAGCCCCATAGTGATGTTCCACTCTAAGAGGTCCCTGAGACCAAGTCCTCCCTCCTTTTTCGGCTTGGTGATTTCCTTCCACGCCACTTTTGCACCCGATTTTTTGGTTGGATCGCCTTTCCATAGAAAGGCCGAGCATAGAGAAATGATTGCTTTAATGCATCCCTTAGGCAACATGAATGCATTCATCCAATAATTAAATATCCCTGAGATGGCCGTAGAGATGAGTTGGAGTCGGCCTGCAAAGGAAAGGTGCTTGGAAGTCCAATGCGTTAGTCGTGATTTTATCCTTTCAATTAGAGGACTGTAATCAGCATTTGTGAGTTTGGAAGGCTTTAGAGGAAGTCCGAGGTATCTGACCGGGAGTGAGCCTAGTGGGAGCCCATGTGTCCTAGCCAGCTCTTCAGCTTCTCCTAGCGACATTCCCGATGTGTATAGGTAGCATTTGCTTCGGTTTATAGCTAGTCCTGAGATCGCTTTGAAATCCTCCAATATTTGCATGATTGCGCTAATCGACTCTGAGGACCCATCACAGAAGAGTAGGAGATCATCCGCAAAAGCAAGGTGAGTGATCTTAAGATGCTGGCAGCCATGGTGATAACCAATTCTTCCATCCTCACCCCCAGCATTTAGCATCAAGGATAAAACATTAAGACCAATGACAAACAAATATGGCGATAAAGGATCACCTTGTCGTAGTCCTCTAGTACCTCTGAAGAATCCCGAAAGTCCCCCATTAATACTGATGGAATAAGTAGCCGTGGAGATACACCGGTGGATGAGATTGATTGTGGGCAACGGAAGGTTAATGGCGGATAATATCTCCAAGATAAAATCCCATCGAATACTATCAAATGCCTTTGATATGTCTATTTTTATGGTTGCTGCCCTAGGCCCCCTCTGTGAATTGTATTTCCTGATGATCTCGGCAGCAAGGAGACTATTTTCTACAAATAAGACGCCCTTTTACAAAAGCTGACTGATTTGGGAGGATCAGTTCTGGCATGATGGGTTTAATTTTCTGAACCAGGAGCTTTGAGATAACTTTGTATATCGTATTACAAGGTGCTGACGCCTTCTTGTCAATCATGTGTTCGTTTTCTAAGATTGCGGAAATTTCTGAGTTGGAAACTTCCTCGGACATGGACATGGACATGACAGACCCTCTTTTGTGACCAAGTCAGTCAACCAAGTTTGTGTTCCGAAACATAACTTGCCCTTTTGCTATTGGCTCTTGTAGAATGGTTTATGCTTTGCAAAATTTTCTCCAACGTGATCATTTCTTAACTGATATCCCATGAAGACCGGACTCGTATCACACGTTTTGGTACTGCGACAGAGGGTGATACTCTCATGGGCCTTAAATTATTAAACGGGCTTAATAATGCCTAACAGTTGGGCTTTTAGGTGAGCCCAATAGGCCCAGTACGTGCGAGCTCAAAGAGGATAGGATTTTTTTTCCGGGAATTCAGTTTCTGCGCATTCTTTTGTCGGAGCTCCGTCTGTGCATCAATGGCGTCTTCTTCTCTGTCGACCTTAGCCAGGCCTGTGTCATCTTCTCTGAATGCCAGAGACATCAACGATTCTAAGATTTCACAATCTATCTCCACAAATTTATCCTCCAAAACTAATGTTTCCATCCAGTTTCTGGGCAAGAGGCAGCCTCCACTTCTCTCTTCAACCCCGAGGTTTCTCACTGTCATCGCCATGGCTCCGCCTAAACCCGGAGGCAAAGCCAAGAAAGGTACGAAAATTTCGGTACCCATTTCGCATAATCTCGATTTTGTTTCATTTCCGTTCGGTTGTTTAATTGGGCTATTTTGAGTTCGTGGAATTTCGCCAGTTGTCGGGATGATAAAGCTGGCTCTGGAGGCCGGGAAAGCAACTCCAGCGCCGCCGGTGGGCCCGGCGCTTGGTTCAAAGGGAGTGAACATAATGGCGTTCTGCAAGGATTACAATGCGAGAACTGCTGACAAAGCCGGTTACGTCATTCCTGTCGAAATTACCGTCTATGATGTGGGTTTTTTTTCCTGAGACTTCAATCTTATTTTTCTTAAGCGACATCAGATGCAGATGCTGCTGTATGCTAACAATCATATCCGTACTTTTTGACACTGGAATCGATTGTTTCACCGATCGACATTTTTGGCTGCAGGATAAAAGCTTCACCTTTATCCTCAAGACCCCTCCTGCTTCGGTTTTATTGCTAAAGGCTGCAGGTATTCTTTTCTTCCCACACAGAATGTGCAGTATCTCTGTGTTGTCTTACCAAATGAGAATCTCTGATCATTGAAAGTTAAAATGAGGATTAGCTGTGTTGGCTTGATCATCTTGAGGCTCTAGCTTGCATTATGCCTTTTGCCTTTGCTAAGCTATATAGTTTGATGTTTCTGGATATCAGTTTTGAGTTCCTGTAGAAACTTAGGATTGTAAGTTATCTATGATCTGTTGACCCTTGACTTGTCTTGGTGGTGAATCATTTAGATTAGTATTCCTATTATGTCTTGGTCTCAATTCTCATTGAATGTGAACAATTCTCGGTCCAGCTTACGAAGCTGATGAAAGGCTGTAGAGTACTTCGCCTAAGCCAAAAGCTAGAACTCCCGAATAACATTTGTCATATGTTTTAGCTTCAATTGAGCATGTAGAGTAAACAAGATAAATCTTGCTAGAAAGTCATATATGATTACATAACATCTGTTATCTACATTGCGTTCCCTTCTCCCGGTTTGAAGTCCTCTGATGCGATATTCTTCGGGTTCTGGAAATAGGAGTGGAAAAGGGATCGAAAGATCCAAAGCAGGAGAAAGTCGGAAAGATAACGGTAGAGCAGCTACGTACGATTGCAACCGAGAAGCTGCCCGATCTGAACTGCACGACTCTTGAATCCGCGATGAGAATCATTGCAGGAACTGCAGCTAATATGGGCATAGACATAGACCCTCCTGTTCTTGAACCCAAAAAGAAAGTAGTTTTGTAAAGCTACCAATCTGTTTTCTTTAACTCGAATGTGTATTCCATTTTGGACTCAAGAAGTGTAATCTTCCACACAATTGAGGTTCTACCTAGAAATTCTTTCACGTGAACCACTGTCATCGTTTTCCGGATGCTACAGTGAGAAAGGTTGGGTTCTTGATGCGTGATTTTGGTGGTGTTTCCGTTTTTTTCAAGCATGATTGTTCCCATGAAACATAAGAATATGGTCGACCAAAAGTGCAGGTCAAAACCAAAGTTAAGGCCCAGTAGGACCATCATATAGACAAACGGGCTATTTCATAGGTCCATTGGACATATAATTTAAGGCCCATTGGGCCGATGTGGAAAATGTAGGATAAGCCATGTTCTTAAAACGCCTCTTTCACTTGCTCATCACCATTGTGACTGTAACAAAGAAAAGCCTAAAGGGTTTCGTTCGCTGCGCTGTTGTTGCGAAGAAGAAGAAGATGCCGGGTCCCGTTGTGGAGGAAGAGATTACGCAAGAACTGCTAAACGAATCCATCAAGGAGCAGCAGAAGTTCCAGGTTCGATTTCGTTTCCTCTCTTCGATTTCCTATACCGTCCAAGTTCTCCGATTTTTTATTTTTATTTGTTTTGGACCATTTTGGTTGTGTTTGGTGTGGAACAGAAGGAAGACGATGTGGTTGTGGAGGAAGTGAAGGAAGGAGAGGACGACGACGACGACGACGATGACGATGAGGAGGACGACGGTATTCTCTCCTCTCGATGTTCGACAGTGGAAAACGGATCTAAATTATTAGCTTTGTTTTGCTTTGCATCACCTTATATCAGATTAAACACAATCCTGGATAAAGGCCTGAGTTATGTAGTTTCTGGATCTATAATAACAAAGCTCTCGCCATTTCCCTGAATTTGATTTGTCGTTCTGCAACATGTTCCATAAACTCAAAACATTTCACTTTGGTTTCATTCCTTAATCTTTGTTACAGACATTTGGAGAGATGTCTGTAGTACTGGGACTTACATCTGTGCTGTGTCATTTTATATATGTTTCTGGGTCATGGTAATGCTTGATTTCCGTAAACCCCTTTTGACAGTTTATGTTTTCGGGTTTGGTCTTGTTTTCATGTTGTGAAGGTGAACATGATGGAGCTGGTGGGAACGAGAGTTCCAGGCAGAGTAGAAGTGAGAAGAAAAGCCGCAAGGCTGTGCTGAAGCTTGGGATGAAACCCGTCACAGATGTTAGCCGGGTGACAATCAAGAGATCGAAGAATGTAAACTCCCTAACAAACATCATAGACTACTGTCTCGTCTCATGTTTCTGTCGCTGTAGCTATCGTATAGATTGCTTAATTCCGATAATTCTTACATATGTATATCAGGTGTTATTTGTCATATCGAAGCCGGATGTGTTCAAGAGCCCGAACTCTGAGACTTATGTCATATTTGGAGAGGCCAAGATCGATGACCTGAGCTCACAGCTGCAAGCTCAGGCCGCTCAGAAGTTCAAGATGCCCGACATTTCATCCATGGTTCCTAACTCGAATGCCTCCGAAGCCACAGCGGCCCCACAAGCCGAGGAAGAAGAGGAAGAAGATGTCGACGAGACGGGCGTCGAGGCAAGAGACATCGATCTGGTGATGACCCAAGCAGGTGTTTCCAGGGCCAAAGCCGTTAAGGCTCTGAAGGCAAGTGATGGAGACATCGTTAGTGCCATTATGGAACTCACTACTTAAAAGTGAGTTCCATTTGCTTCTGATTCATGGTTTGGTTTAGTCCCAGAACTTGTTTCCTAGCATTTTTCCCGAGTGTTATCCACTCTTGTTTCGCTACTATTTAAGGTTAAAGACCAATTTTTGCCATCTTCTCTATGCTTTCATGATGATTTTTTTATTAGAATTCAATCATAATTAGGTTAGTACAATACTAAAAGAACAGCTGATTGGTCGGGACAGTGATCATTAGCAAAGAGAAGAGAAACATAAACATAGTGCATACATTGTCGTAAATCCAAATTCAGGACACAAGAGGAATACATTCACTTCCTATCTTCAGCACAGGCAACATCCAAGCAGCAACCAAAAACACTCTTCCAACTGCTCAAACATGTCTGATGCCAATCCCCACAGCACATTTCACCGTGTAGCTACCAAGAACAAGACAATGACACATCAAAACCAAACTCAGTTCTCTCTGGATTCCATCGTACATTTCGTCTGTACATATTTAGTGTACGCAACATGGCGAAAAACATATATAACCCATATGACAGAAGAGGAAGAAGCAAGAGTTTAAGTAGAGCACCATTTTCATGCTCCAGCAGTTCATTTTACAGCCGCTTTGTAGCAGAAGGTTTCCATGTCAATTTACATCATCCAGTCCATCTTGATTCAGAAACATGACATTCTGAGGCTGTTCTTTTAAAAATCCCGCCCCCCACAAATTCTAACCTGCAAAATCAGAAGCACACTCTCTAGTGGGCCCAGTGCTAGGGTAATCAAATTCGATCTGTGACACCATTCAAGCTTTCACCACTGCTATAAAAGTATATGTAATACAAATAGGTGAACACAACATGGCAGCCGAAAATGATGATCGGGTTATCAGGATGAATTGGAATCACCGTATGAATTCTCTTAAACGTCACCAGGTGGCTCAAAGTTTCATCCTTGAAAGAGAAGCCTCATATTCTATCAAGCACCTATCTGCTTCGGCCTTAAGCCATAAGCTTCTATAGAACAACGCCTGTGGGTTAGTTTGTTCTTCTGTTGTATGATTCTGTTGAAAAGCACTATTAGCAGTAACCTGCACGCCATCAGATTGACAAAAGAGTCTGTTTCATGGTATATGCCAATATCAAGTCATGCAACTGTACAATGAGAGATTATACCTGGGCAGAGCCATTCCCTCTGGCCACACTACTTTCTCTCAAATGAGAATGTGGTACTATCTCACCCGAGACTGCAGAGTATTTCTCTTTCCTTTTAGGATCAAGGTTGACAGTCATATTGCTTGCCCCTGGTGGCCGAAGGTCTCTAATCGATAACTAATACAGAACATTTGGAATCATAGTGATTAAAATAAGGTTATTTCTGTAATGTCTACGGGAAACAATGCTAGAAATCCACCCTTTTACCTAGGTGGTAAAACTAGAATTCAAAACACAGTTAACTGGATGCACAAAGTGAAGGTAATGCTAGAAAAAAATATTGCAGATGTATCAAATATGGTAAAGATGAAAACTTTGGAACTGAACGGCTGGGATACAAATGCAGATGCCCATTTTGATGCGCTTTTAAATGATCAGTGAACGCCAATGAACTTTTTAGACGGTAAAATTTTTTAGTGAATTCTAGGCCGCTATTGCATGCAAGTCTACATACCTCATGCACATTAGCAAACTGCTTCGGGTCATATGAACCATGTCGAACATTAGAGGAATTCCCAGCATGTCCCTCAATTCTGCTTCTCATATACAAGTTGAGATTCTGTACAATGCAGTTGATAAGTATAACCTCTTGCTCATTTTGTAAATCTGAACCACATGAATGGCCTTGTACACCCTTTATATGTGTCAGCGACTCTGACAGCCCATGCATGGTTGTAAGGAGCTTTTTGACATCCATTTCTGGAGACGACAATGATGACGGACAGCCATGTCTCGGGCTTAGGTTGGACAAAGCTTTCATGTTGCCTGAAGATGGACCTGCAGAATCTTCCGAGATATGAAAAGACAGAAAATGATCAATATCTTTATTACCCTTCATCGAAAGTGTTTTTGGCTCCACCACAAGTTGCTTAACAGACACGAAGTGATCGCCTAACTTTGTAGATTGGTCAGCAACAGAAGATATTAGATGAGCTCTCCCATGTAACTTGCTTGGACTGACATGTTCCGTCTGGGTCATCCCAATTCCACTGGAATATGGTTGCGCATATACTGATGATTTTGATCTAACTAAGGCAGTGTCAGACGCATTGCTGTCCCTGCAAACAGAAGAAGCAGATGAAATGGCATTATAAATCACTGGCAGCAACTCATTGTGGCAGGGTTTGTTTCACAGCCATCTATGTTTCGATTAGTATCTGGACGCAAGAAATTACAGGCCAGAGGATTCAACCTGTGCCTTCCATGCAACTTGTCATTCGGACTTTTCAGATTCACATTCTCAGAGATTCCAACTTCAGCTCCAAGCCACGGGTTCAATGAACCTGATGTTCCTGGTTCACGAGCACCATTATAGTATTGATGCCCAAAACTGCTGCTGACTGCTGCAGAAGACATCTCTTCCTTGACATGATTCAGCAACCCACCACTCAAAGAAGATAGAGCAGCAGTTGAGTGTGCATTTGTATTGAAATCTACCAAGTGATCTACTCCACCTTGTTTATCATGCACAGCAGCACCTAATTTTGCACTGGCAGGAACAAAAACAGGGGCTGAAGGATCCAACTTTTTGGGTGTTTGGATTTCGGTCCTAGAATCCAATGTACTCGTAGTGTTGGAAACATTATCTTGAGAAACAAAACCAAAGCTTTTATCTGCATTATGGATCAGAAAGCTTGTTCCCGTTGCTCTATCGGTTTTGCCACTGTTTTTCTGTATCACAGCTTTCTTAGGGATATCTGTTAAGCTGTAGTCTTCTGATGATAATGGAAAGGTTGAAGACAGGGACTTCTTCAAAGATGAAGCGCTGCCCTCTCCACATTCTTTGACATGCTTGTCTAAACTTTTCTTAGCACTGGCCGGTATGAAACGAGGAGCCAAAGGATTTAATCCGTAGGATCTGTTAAGATCATCACTAGAGCGCCTCGAACTCATAGCCTTGGAACCTGAGGCCACAGTATTGTAAGATTGTGTTCCTTTCCAGCAAGGAGAATCCACTTCAGAGTCCTCCTGGTCAGAAGGTTCAGAAGATTTCTCAGGTATGCCAACTGCATTGGTACTGCACGGATCAGGCTTGTCATTATCAGAACCAATGGAGCACCTTATCCGCAGCTCGGATGTCTTTGAGAAGAATGAACTAGGATCGTTTTCACCGATGCTTTGGTTCACCAAGACTTTTCCAAAAAACGCCGCCTTTCCTTTGGCATAGGGCGGCTGTCCCGCAGCACTACCATCAGCAGAGTTCACATTAGCCACCGAGACACCATTGACTGCAGGAGTTGTGCCCGTGTGTCCAAGAACTGATGTTGAGGGGAAATGCGTAGCAAATCCCCCCTCCAAGTTAACAACCGAGTTTGATTGGTTTGAGGAAATGACAGGTATTGAGAGTGACACTTGAGGCTGAGAATCAGCAGGTCTCAAATCTGACTCCAGAAAATTTGAGATCCCGAGAAATGATTCGACATTTTCTTGTCTCATAGTTTCAGGGTTGATCCTCTGATCTTTTTCTGATGCATAAGCAGCTTGTCCAAACAGCTCTGATCCTTCTGCTGTAGTCATTGCAATTCAAAACACAGAAATCACAATTGTCAGAACAGAGAACAGACTAGCCTCCAAAATATTAGCTCTTATCGCGTCTCGATCATTATCTTCTCATCCACAAATCGAAAAAAAAAACTAGTGTGACGTTATTTCAGCAAACGATTCTCAAAACTCCTACTTCAAGTATAGACCGCATTACTCCAACCCAAGAACGAAACATTGTAGGATCAATAAACACGACCACCACATCTGGAGAACGAAATTCACCTTTAAGACGAGCAGAAGCGGCGTCTGCATCGCGAGACAAGTTAGACAGAGAATCGTCATCGAGACCACCACTTCTCTGGTCGTCGGACGTCAAGAAGGAGAGATCAAAGGCATAATCACCCCAGATGGAATCTTCAGGCTCGGATTCAGAAGCCGCAACAGAGAATACACCGGAAGAACCTGGTTGGACAAACGAAGAAGAAGAAGAACCGAAGGTGAAGGGACGAGCGAGAGGAGAGAGACGGCTCCGTACATCGCCAATTCCAAGATCACAGTGCTTCATCCTCGGTGGCTATGGCGGAGAAAGAAAGCCCTCGAATTCGCAGAGAAATTTCCTTAACAAAGAAGGGAAGGGATTTTCCACCTTCCCCTTCCCTTCTGCTTTTGAAGGGACGAAGCTTTTCTTCAGGTCAAAGGGCAACAAGAACAGAAGAAGGCTGCTGAGTTTCCTCGTTAATTCGGATTAGGACGAAAAGTTTCCATGTTTTACATATCTGCCCTACAATTATTCATATTTCTATATATGACCCACAATTCTTAAAACTTTACCGATTCCCATTTTCTTTTTTCTTTTCCTATTTTCGTCCCTGTACACTTGAATCTTCTCTGTTTTCCTTTTAAACGTTGATATGATATTACAACCATCTGCATTCATACGATAAATTCACCGTGTTTCAACTAAATATTGTGTTCCGATGATCAAATTTTGTAATACATGAACGTGCATTTGTTAACATCACATGAGGCGACAGGCGTTGACGTTGTCGTCATTGAACAAGTTGCTGACGTTGTCGTCGCCTCGGCATCCGACAGGGATGTTGCCGTGCTGGTCGGTGGAGTTGTAGCCGTGTCTGTAATAGTTGTAGCTCTCTCTGAACTCTTTCGACGGATCTCTGAAATAGTTCCGAGTGGATGTGAAGTAGAGCGGCGGTTCTGGATATGGCCAGAACTCCGCTCTCTTCCCGGCCCGCCTCACGGCTTTTAGGACTTTGTTCCTGTCTACGTATCCGATCACTCTCACCCTCCCCATCTCAAGCTCGATCTCCACAGAATCAATCCCTGCATCATCCGTTGATCTGTTTAGATACATCGGGGAAAAAAAGAGAAGACTTTTGTGCATATGGGCAGATAGGTGGCTTAAATAGGGTTGATCGCCCCTTTTTATCTCCCTCTTCTTGAATCTTGCCCCTTCTCCTCGACCTCATTGTCGTAGGTCGGGTACCCGCCAAGTACCTGAGGCCTCGTTGCACCCGGACGAGGCGGAGGTCGGATGGCTCGGCTCGAATACTCTGAAAAAACTCGATACCCGACCCGCATCCATCCACCTTGTGGACGATACGACATGGCACAAGGCCTTTATTAGTTAGATATATACCTCGGAGCTTGGAGATTGCATTTCTAACGATTCTGACACATCCGCTGCAACACATTCTCACCTTCAGATCAACCGTCTGCATGTTGAATGTCGTAAAATCATGTAACATCGAATGGATTCGTAAAATCATATTGGATTCGTAAGATTTTTTTTTATAAAAAACTCGAACCTGCAAAGAGAGGGGACGTCTCTTAGACATCTTGAAGTAGCTGATATGTGTCGTTGTGCGTCCTTTGTTACTTAGAGGACGGAATCTGAAGAAAATTATCGAGATGGCAGATACAATGGAGTTGAACCCTCTTGCTATCAATGCCGCCATATGCAACTTTGTGGTTATGAAATTGAAAAGTCCTTTTTTTTAGAAAGAAACGAAAAAGATTGATATATACAAATACACGCACGTATTGGGCTATGTATAAAGTGAGAGTAGATGCCCATACAACTATACATATATATATATATATAGCTGCATAGACAGAGATATATGTAAGTTGAGGAGGAAAGCTTGAGAGGCCATGGCAATGGAAGCCCTACAGCAAAGGCAGCAAATGAAAAAGAATATGGACCGACGGATTTGAGGTGTTATGTAAGCAAAGTAAACACAGCTTTTTCCGCTAAACCTCGTGGCAACCTTTACACACATGAATGTCCCTCGATACATTATTTCACCCAAAAAAAAAAGTTTGATTTTTTTTTGGATCTCAGCTTCTTCGATCAAAAGGGTCTGCCTTTGTCGACAGGGGAAGGATATTTACGTTGGGAGGGAACTGTAAACTTGCTTGGATCATCGTCAAGGGAACCGAACTAATCTACATAACCGATGCGAAACATATTGCGTAGGTTACAAATTATATAAAACAAACTTTATACTGGAAAACGAGAACGAAAGTAGAACAAGAAGTGTTCTTGAACGGAGGAATATTATCATTCTTTCTTTCGGTTTCCAATGGAAACTCGTCGACAATACATACATACATATATACGTCCAGAAACAAAGCTGTACATGTCCGAAGAATCATCAGAAACATTGAAACAAAACAGCCAAAGCGTCATTTGTTTTTACAGAACAGCAACTCTCGAAGAAGAAGAAGAAACCCAAGTCAAATTCGAAGAACCCAGAAAAGAAAAAACCCTAAACTCAGTGGTAATTACGAGCGGGGAGGAGGAGGGGGCAAGAGGAGGGGGAGAGACGAGTGGAAAGGGAGAGAATAAAGAAGGCGAAGACGGATCCGGCGAGGAAACGGAGCCTGCGTGAAAAGATGCTCCAACACTCTGGCCAGAACCGCCGTGTACTCCTCCATCATCTCCGCCACTATCGCCACCAGCAACATTCTCGATTGTGATTATTGCCACAATTTCAGAATCTTCTTTCACTTTCTCTGGTCTTCTCTAGATTGATCATTACATATATATATATATATGCATATATGTATATACACTGACATGTGTCTTTCTTTCTGTTTTTGTCGTGTAAAAAATGACAAAATCCTATGGGCTTTTTATTTTTTTTTCCGGGCTCTCGGTTTTGTGAGGAGACTGCGTTGGTTTGGTTTTACTTGCTACATTGGATTTATATTCATTTATTGGCACATTGTATTGTATTGTCGTTACCGCGGCGGCCCCACTTGGACCGATGTTTATCCGATACGTTACTCCCTTCCCATATGATAATTTATTAATTTCCTCTCCTCATTTTTCATATTGATAGAAATTGAAATTCAAGATCATCATCGTCACCATTATCATTATTGAGTCAAGCATGTCAAAGCAATGTGTACTTGAATCTTGATACTGAAACCCCTTACCAAAACGACAAAATCTTGATGATGCTAAAACCACGTGTTTTGAAACCGGGGTGGAAATTCCGAGGATGTTTTTGACGGACTTGCAACATATACATATACATCTACATATATACACACACGTACTCACTATAATCACAGCATATTAACAAAGTCATTGGAAGGGTTTTCTGAGTTGCTATATCAGGGTATGAACGGATGGATATAAACACGTGAGTCAAGACTCTAAAGAAACCTCGAATGTCCAATTAATGTCAGTTCAAGCAGATGCTGCAAAATAGACTCCTGACTTTGGTCCGAAATAAACCTAAGACACAATCATTACAAAATCCAACTAAAAAAAGGGACATTGATGGTACACACCGGCTTTACAAGACTACATCAATATGTCTGTCTCTCGACCAATCCATCTGATGAAACATGAGGTTATTTTCGGCATTCTTCGTGATTATGCCAAACCAGCCTCTCCACGTCGCGATCAATATCACCATCATCACCGCCATAACCAAGAACACAGTGAACATACTACCACTGCTACATTGCAAGCTTCTCTTTAGCAGCCGAGTCTTTGTCCACTTCTCATGGTTCTGTCTTAACTTCAGATCTTGCCGTGATGGGTCTTTATCCTCTCCCTGAAATCAGACAAATTGCATATGTTTGTCACTGTTTCGTTCATGTCTCGGCGGATGGATATGCTTGTTTATGTTTCAGAGATACAGCTTCCAGGGAGGATTCTTACCTCAAGCCCAGTTGATTCTTCTTTGCTACATCTCACTGAATCACTGCTGTTTGAGGGAGGCTTATGCGTTCTCATCTGCAGATGGATTCTCCTTCGTGTTGTACTTTGAATGCCGGAATCAGCTGGTTGCGAATGACTATCGGGCTCGTGGACACTAGTCTTGTCGCTATCAAGAAACCACCTCTCATTACCATCCACAACCTGTGTGCGTAAATCATTAGTCCGCTTGAGAGGGAAACGAAAATGCATGAACAGGCACAACATGGCAGGATATTATCCTAGATGAATGGTTCTTACCTTGGAAGTGGCAGATTGCACTTCATCTTCTTCGCTGAGATCTGAACTTGACTTCTCCATCTGTAGCTTAAGTCTTCTAGGAGCAGTCCCTTGGTCCACAAAGAAGTTTGAATTCGGCAGATGTTGCCTAGCCGTAGCCTTGAACCGGGATATGCTACTGGGACTAACGTTGGACTCCACAAAGCTCACTTGAACAGTTGGCTGCTCTAAATTATTGGAATTAATATGACACGGGTTGGCGGTTGCATAAGAAGATGAACCATACTGCTCTAATGGGTGGGCAGTCAGCGGTGTCAAGGACCAGGAGAATCCCGACAAAGTTTGCCCCTCCACTAACTCATTGCCTGGTACATATTGCTGTACATTAAGAAACCTATGTTCAGTTCCGGTGTCAAAGGCTCAAGACCTATGCTTTCCTTTTACAACACTGTAGAATATATCAGATGCTTAAGAACTAAATAAAACCGTTTGTTTACCTGTGCTCCTGCCATTACATCATCCCGGTCAAAAAATGGAGCAGTGTCGTGGAATAAGGGGTTAACAGCTGAGGGCATGCCTGTATTTCCGGGCAAATGTATCGTTCTTTGAAGAGCTATGTCTTTTCCTTTGGTGAAATCGTCACAAGAAGATACGTTATGGTTACCAAACACCTCATCCAAGACTTCTGTCAAGGATACATCCTGTAAAGAGGCACCGCCCTGAAAATGTAGTCCGTTATCACAGTTTCCAAAATCGCTGGCATACAGTGAATCCATGTGTGATGCAGCAAAGCCAAGGCTTGACTGTGATGGACAAATTGTTTTGTCATCGATCTGAGCAAAGCTTGGGCCATAAAGATCATAAATGTCCCTTAAAAATGGATTTTCCTAGATCATAAGAAAGCAAAAGCTAGCTTAGAACATAGGCAACACATAGAGATACACTTATTCACAACAGATAAAATCAAACTCCAAAAATGAACAAGCCCTTGGTTGGAATAATCCACCTCTTACCCCAACTATGCTTTTCCCCAAAATACAGTCTTCAGTATGAGAAGTTGTAACGTGGTTGTCAAAGCTACCGTTAATCAGTGGATCATTGGGTTTCACATCATCAGACTTATCAGCCAGAGATCTTTCAGCATCATCTGATTCTTTCAAAGCTTTTTCCCGAGATGTAGCTGTTTCTTGGACCATCTCAGGAGATGTGTCATCGGGAATGGATTTGGGGCTGGCGGGAGTGGATTTATCATTCTCTAGTTCATCACAGTTTGCAGTACCACAGCAGTCACTAGGTTTATGGAACAAGCGACACAAAACATATGGATTCTGTTCGACACACAGAGAAAAGCTATAGATAAGCAAACAGTGGTAATAGCATGAACACATGCAAAGTTGCAAACAACCCAAAAACATGTTTATCAAATCATCACTACATAAAGACACATGACACTATGCTGTAGCCATTTCAGAACACATGGAACTTATTCGTGTTCATGCTTGTGACATACCGAAAAACATCAGATTTAACTTCCAGACCAAGGATAAAACAGATAAACAGTCTTCCATGATCAAATGTGCGACCTAACAGAACTTTGCAAACAGACTCATGCACGTGACATACTCAAGATAAATGAACTTCCAATCCGGTGGATAAATTAGCTAAAGCGTCTTCCTTCCTCTACCAGAAATGCAATCATGGGAATGGAACGCTTGAGCAATCGAAACCGAGACAAGGAGCTAAGACTGACCTAAGTAAAGAGAAACAAAAGCAGACCTGGCCAGGGCCGTAACCGTCGAGGTCCTTGTCAGTGGCACGGTACTCATGCATGATCCAGCTGGTCCGCTCGGCCCGTGGAGCACGACCACGATAGAAAACAAGAGTCTTCTTCATCCCAACAGCCGTCTTCTTGGATCTGATGGTCCGATCCTTGCCTGTGGCTTTCCAATAGCCAGAGTCAGTGGCTCTGTTGGAACGATGGCCACTTGGGTACTTCCGGTCACGGGGACAGAAGAAGAACCACTCCTGATCATCAGTCTTAATCACCGACAACCCTGTCATCGTCGTCATCACCCACATCACATCTCAGAGAAAACCTAGCCACCCTAAGCATAACCAACATGGCCAAACCGCTCCTAAAAATCAACACTTTCGGCATTTCTGAATCTGAGTTCCTCGTATTTCTACCTATATCGAGGGAAGAGCAGAGCGAGAGAGATAGAAAGACGAACCAGGTAAATCCCAAGGCTCCCACCTGCAGACATCGATTTCGGGGATGACACGAACCTCCGAATCACGGCCGTTGATCTTCAACCTGAGGTAGTGATTGATGAGTTCCTCGTCTGTCGGTCTGAATCTGAAGCCAAGAGGCAAAGACTCTATCGACAACATCGCCATCGCCGTCGCCGTCGCCGTCGCCGTCGCCGTCGCCATAGTGTTGTTTCCCCCGGCGGTCCTCTTCCTCTACTTCTTTCCCAACTTGGTAAAACGGTGTGGCAGATAAAAACACGTGGAAACTGACTTGGAGAAGTGACATGTATGACTCGCACGTGTGAATGCTCGTATTCTCTGTTACACCCTTTGGTTTTCGTCGTAGTTACAAAAATGCCATGGCTCGAGCTTCTTCCATAAGCATCCACGCGGCGGTTAGCTTTTGACCCCACCCCACGCTCGCTCGCTCGCTCGCCGGCGCCGCAACGTTTTAGCTCCTTTTCACGTGGTCCTCAAAAGTAAAAAGCCTCCCAAAAGAAAAAGTTGTCCACGTCATATACCAAATAAATATAAAAATATTTTATTTAGACCTATAATTATAATAATTGAAATTGAATAGATATCTCATTTTTAACATAAAAAAACTGATAAATTTGGACAGAGACGGTAAAGGAAGGGGAAAAGGTGATACGAAGTCCACGTCACGTGGCCGTAACATCTCAATTATTGCGGTCTGGGGGTATAGGCCTTAAAGCTGATTTGACCGTCCAGGCCCATGCAAAACTGTGCCCCGTAATGGCCCATTTTGTTACCCATTAGATCTCTCAGATTCTCCTTACTCCACATTTCAATTTAATTAATATTAAAAATCAAATATATACATATATATATATATAATACTAGATAAATTTTTAGGGTTTTTCTTTATCAGTTGGAGACAAATCCTGATAAATGATCCCCGATCTCTTATATTATCTCTACTCCGCATTTCAATTCAATTAATATTCAAAAATCAAATAGATATAAATATGTAATGTAATATATATAATTTTTTAGGGTTTTTTTCAGTGGGAGACAAAATCCTAATAAATGCTAGAGAGAGATGTACGCTGCGAAAAAATAAACGGCCACAAGACTACACGAAAGTAGTTAGATGAAGAACATCAACCACTCTACCCTCATACATATATATATATATATATATATATGTATATATATTGAAAACTCTTATTTCCATCTGTAAATTTATTTTTCATTTTATCAAATCTGTTCTCCACATTTCTTATTACTTGGGAGTTTCAGATGGTTAATTTCAATTATTTTATTTTTTTAGGAATGTATTTCCACATTAGATGACTAGTTTTGATGTATGCTATAAAAAAATAGAAAAAATTCAGTATATTACATGACTTGATTTATCTTTATTCACAGTGAATATTTGTGTAATTATATTAGTATTTTGTAGGTTTTGAAATAATTCTGAATAAAAAAAAATTATAAATTTTTATGTACCTGATTATTTCTCCAGTCAACAAGAGACAGCGGGTACGTAAAACCAGATGATGTTTTTAAAATATTTTCTATTTTTGTAAATGTTTCTGATAAATAATAAATAATACAGTTTTTTTAGATATTCGTCTAATATACTATGGTTTTACTTGTTTAAGGTAAAACAATTCTATATTATATTTTAAGATATTGATGATAATGGTGTAGTAATATTTTTTGGCCAACAGATAAAAGTATAACCTCAAAGGTAACTATATCAAATGTTTTTCTAATATTTTCCACCGAAACTAAAATAATATATATTCCGATGCAATATATGAGGACAAACCCACTTGACACGAGGTAGGTATAGTCAACTTGCAAAATAAAATAGTGGAAAATATGTAAAAGTTTATAAGAAAGAAAGCTGTTTTTTTATAAACATATATTGAAAATTCATAATTAAGAAAATAATTTCAACCAAAAAAGGAAAATAATAATGAAAAATACGAGGGAAGAAAAACATCGACAGGCAAATTGTCAAACCAGAGATCATACGAGGAGAGAGTGAAGGTCATTTGTCCACGTAACTCGGCATGTTTGTATGTTCCTCCTCCACTCTCTCTCTCTCTCTCTCTCTCTCTCTCTCTCTCTCTCTCTCAATGCATTAAATTCCCTCTTCTGTCGATTTCGCATTTGGTGTCCCTCTTTATTCCCTCCTCGGAACCTTTCCTTCCCTCCATACCCTGTTATTCTTCTACTTATACTCCTCTCGTTCTCCCGTCAAAGGTTAAGAAGGAGAAGATATTGACCGGAAGAGATGGCCGGAGAACTGACGGAGAAGCTGCTGAGCAAGAAGCCGGAGAACGGAGAGGCGGAGGAGGAGGAGGAGTTGAGGTTGAAGGATAGGGTGTGGGAGGAGTCCAAGAAGCTGTGGGTGGTGGCGGCTCCGGCCATCTTTACGAGGTTTTCGACGTTCGGAGTGTCGTTGATAAGCCAAGCCTTCATCGGACACCTCGGTCCGACCGAGCTGGCTGCTTACTCCATCGTCTTCACCATCCTCCTCAGGTTCAGCAATGGCATCTTGGTACGTTCCGTACAACACATATTTTCTTTCTGATTTACATACGGTCCGAGTGAATCTATTTACCCAAAAGACATTCTACAAACTACAACTACTTTGTGTTCGATATTCGTAACTAGCGGTTGGTGTTATCTCTTTCATTGTTACAAGGTGTATGTTTGCTTATAAAAAAAATTATAAACTTGGGTTTTACATGAAATTAACAAAAAATAAAAAACCATGATGACAAAATGACAAACATGATTGCGTAAGTGGACTGACTTCGTTTATTTGTCAATGCCTATGGACGTTTGGTTCACGGGAAAAAAAAAACATTTTCGTTTACGGTCAATCACTTGTGTCCTTTCTTTGCACCAAAAGACAAAAGCAATCTTTTATGAACAAAACAAACAGTTAGTGTTCCTAATCCTCCACTAAAGCAGATCAAAACAACTTTTTTTCCCATTAGGGCAAATAGATCGAAATGCTAAACTCGTATCGAATCTGATTCGTACGCTCGTCTAGTCACACAAAACACGTTACAAAGTTCCCCAAGAAAAAATAATGGATAAACGTGGCATGTTTTATAATCTGTCCGTCTTTAAAAAAAAAAGTAATTTAAAGTGATTCTGTAGAGGTTATGTAGCTTAGTTTAGAGAGTATTAGAAAAATAAATTTGTTGGGTTAAAAAATTAGAATTATAGGATTACGATAATTAAAAAAAGTATAAATTTGATGAATTTATAGGGAGAAAAAAATATGAATTTATAAGACTAAGCGAATAAATGGTTGTTCGTGAATACTTTTTTTCCATAAAAAGTAAATATAATATATTTTAAAACGTTCCCTTTTTGTATTGTCTGTGAGCATTTGGCATTTTAGAGGCAGTAGCTGTTTAATGGCCCATTGAATACCTGGCAAACTTTTATGGTGTAGAAAGGTAGATGGCTGACGAATAAAGGCACTGAGCATAGTAATAATGATTACAAATCCATAAACGGTGTTCAAAATTTATTTCATAACAAAATTAACCCTATAGAAGAAAATTTCATGATACATATGACTGTATAAAGTTATATTTTATTGATGAAATTGACCGTTCAATGAACTGGGCATGAAAAGGGCCTTGACTAGTGCACGGGGTACAAATTGAAAAAAGAAATGTATAACATGTAGCAGTCTGCAAATTATATAAAAGTGGTCCCGATAAAAAAATACGATCCAATTTATAACTTTTTTTGTTTTGGTTACATGGGTTTCATTTCATTTTGGACCGTTGCAGCTAGGTATGGCAAGTGCACTAGAAACGTTGTGTGGACAATCGTACGGAGCAAAACAGTACCACATGCTGGGGATCTACCTCCAAAGATCTTGGATCGTTCTCACGGGATGCGCCATTTGCCTAATGCCGCTCTATATTTTCTCGGGTCCGATCCTTCTGGCCTTGGGCCAGGAGGAACACATCGTCCGGGTGGCTCGTATCATCTCCCTCTGGTTCATCGGCATAAATATCTCCTTCGTCCCTTCCTACACTTGCCAGATGTTTCTCCAGGCTCAGAGCAAGAACAGGATGATCGCTTACGTGGCGGCCTTGTCCCTGGGGATGCACCTGTTCCTGTCGTGGCTTTTGGTGGTTCATTACAAGTTCGGAATCGCCGGCGCGATGACTTCGACGCTGGTCGCGTTTTGGATACCGAACATTGGACAGCTTCTGTTCGTGACGTGCGGAGGTTGTAGAGATACATGGAGAGGTTTCTCTTCTTTGGCGTTTAAGGATCTTTGGCCTGTTGTCAAGTTGTCGCTTTCCTCCGGCGGCATGCTTTGGTATGTTTCTTCCATCTATATATATGTCGTAAATATATATATATATTCACACACACAGGCTCACACGTATATGTATATATATGTATGTATGTATGTATGCATGCATGAATGGGTTGGTGATAACGCTGTGTGTTGTATTTGGCAGCCTTGAGCTATGGTACAACACGATCTTGGTACTTCTGACCGGGAATTTGAAGAATGCAGAGGTCGCCATTGATGCTCTTGCCATCTGGTAAAATATTAATTAATTTATTATCACCAACCTATATATATGTGTATATTAGATATTACATGTTTTTATAAATATTGGGAAAAAAAATTAACCAGAATGGTGTGGTTTCAAACCGTTTATGAAAATTGGAATATTGGGAGTAAATACGTAAATACAAAATTCATGCATTTATTAATTAGCGCCCCTACTTATTGAAGATCAATGCAGCTTCTGGACCATCTCAACAAAACGTCCAACCAAATGTGTTGGACCACCAAACTAAGTCAGAGAAACCAACAAATCTCGAACATTTTTTTAGATATTTGTCTCTATCGAATACAACCAATATGTAAATCGACAACTATACATACATCTGTATGATCCGTCTATTCCATTCACTTACTCTCTTTTGTCCTTTTTGCCATTACAATTTTGTGCAGCATCAACATCAACGGCCTAGAAATGATGATCGCACTAGGGTTTCTGGCTGCAGCAAGGTACGTATACCAACTCATTTCTCATGCCCTGCATTGGAATGTGTGTGTTTTTTTATAAAGTGAGAACCAGCGGCCACTGTCATTCGGATGTGCATCGGGTAAACTCCATTCTCGTGTAATAGTTTGCAAACCACACGAGAGATGTAAACCAATCGAGGTTGCACGTAACTGACATGTTATGGGTTATTATTTGTATACAAGACCTCGTGAAATAATTGTGAGAGGAGACAAATCCTAGGGCCAAACCAATGAATAGAACTACTCGATTATCGGTGTTATAAGTTTATTATACATTTTGTGCTCCAAATGTATATATAAACATGTAAAATCTACAAATACTAAGGATTACATGTTAGTATAGTAGTGTTGATATATATATATATATATATATATATATATATATATGACATTTTTTTCTGAATATACAGTGTGAGGGTATCGAACGAGCTCGGGCGGGGAAATCCGAAAGCTGCAAAGTTCGCGACGGTTAACGTGGTCTGCACTTCGCTGTCGATAGGATTCGTTCTATTCTTCGTGTTCTTGTTCCTCAGAGGAAGGGTTTCATATATATTCACGGTTAGTGAAGCCGTGGCCGCTGAAGTAGCCGATCTATCGCCTCTTCTAGCTTTCTCCATCCTCTTGAACAGCGTTCAACCTGTTCTATCAGGTACATCTTCGATTTCTATCCTCTTGATTGGATATTTTTACTTTCGAATAATAAATAATATCGGACCGACGATCATATACATTATTAAAAAAAAAACGGCGTCGAATGAATTCAAAATGGGGCAGGAGTTGCGGTCGGAGCTGGATGGCAAGGCTATGTTACATACGTGAACCTTGCTTGCTATTACCTTGTCGGAATTCCTACCGGAGTTGTGCTCGGTTACGTCTTTGGTTTGCAAGTTAAAGTACGAGCCTCCAACTATAATATTTTAATCGTCACATTAATGTTTTTTTTTTGTAAGAGTGTTTGGTAATCGGTACAACGTATTTTTTGTTTCAGGGTGTTTGGATTGGGATGCTCTTCGGTGTATTCGTTCAGACTTGTGTGCTAGTAATCATGACTTTGAGAACAGATTGGGACCAACAGGTTGGTCTTTTTTTTTTCTTTATTAGCATCAATGCATATATACGTACGTATATAATATATGTAAATTAATTTCAGGTTTCTGCAACTCGCAATCGCTTAAACCGGTGGGCTGTACCGGAAACAAGAGACGAGCGTCAAACTTCGCAAGAGGGCTAACAAGTAATGATGGTTATTGATATCATATTATTATTATTATTATGGTTATGTTAGTCGATAATGACGTGTATTTTTATTTCAGACTAAGCATAAATCTTTTTTTTTTTTATGGCGTTTTTATACATGTTCTTTGGACAACGCTGAGATGAGTGATTCTTTAAGCTTAGATGTTGTATTTGCTACTGTTGTTCGCTATCAGTTTCGTTATTTAAGCCCTTCATTTCTGATACCGTATTCTATAATTTATATTTCTTGTTCACTTTTCAAATATTGGGCAACTGTTTTTAGGGTTTGATATTTCCGTTCATTATTTTTATTGAGATTTCTAATTTCGAAAATATTATTAACTATTTGATTTTTACATCATTTTTTCTTGAATGCAAATTTAGTTCGGATTCATTTTTTTATTAAAAAAGATTCTGTTTCTATTTTTTTTTTAAATGTTTTAACTTTGTAATATTTGATTTGGAAAAATTATTGACTCACGTATTCCATTCCATTAGGTTTTGCAAAATATGTGCAATTTATATGCCCATATTACATTTCCTCGTGCCAAATGTAATATGGGCATCAATAATTGAAAATTGATAATAAAAAACTAAACTAAAAATTATGAAAAAAAAATACATCAAGTCTCGATTCAAGGATCTGTTAATTCTGCAAATATAATAATGACACATTCGAAATTCAAAATAAGAGGAAAGAAAGAAAGAAAGAGAGAAGAATATCCCCCAAATGTGGAATGCCAACTTGAATATGAGAAAGCCCATTACCTGTTTCATAGAAAAGCTCAAATAATTAGGCCCATTTACAGTTGTCGGCCCAAATCATTTGAAGTTTGTTTCCCAAAATGTGATTCTGATCACCATTAGGGTTTCTCTTGCACTTTGCTTTATAAACCTAGTTGCCGTCCGCCTGCGCAGAGAGGGAAGAAGGGGAAGAAGAAGAAGAAAGAAGAAGAGGAGCGAAGATGAAGACGATTCTGTCATCGGAAACAATGGATATCCCCGACGGCGTGAACATCAAGGTTCACGCGAAGGTGATCGAGGTCGAAGGACCGCGAGGGAAGCTCACTCGCGACTTCAAGCACTTGAACCTCGATTTCCAGCTCATCAAGGATGAGGAAACCGGCAAGCGCAAGCTCAAGATCGACGCGTGGTTCGGCTCTCGCAAGACCAGCGCTGCCATTCGCACCGCTCTGAGCCATGTCGACAATCTCATCACCGGCGTCACCAAGGGGTTCCGATACAAGATGCGTTTCGTCTACGCTCACTTTCCCATCAACGCCTCCATCACGAACAGCAACACCGCCATCGAGATCCGTAACTTCCTCGGCGAGAAGAGGGTTCGTTCTCTTCTCTCGTTTTATGAATCTGTGTCTGTTTGGTATTTCTGTTCTAGGGTTCAGCAGGCTCTGTAGTGTATAATGGTCGATTCTATGAGCTTTCGTATGGATAGGAAATCGAATAAACCTTGAATACCATATATTGGATTGGTAGTTGGTTGGAAAATGTTTGATGTGGTGGATGATCCGGTGAATATTTGCAGACTTACCATGGGCATTGTTCCATGGTTGCTCTTGTGGTTGGTTAGATTAGCGTTTTGCTGATTAACCATGAAATCGTTCATTCCGACCGCTTCGCTTCATGATAATGTATTTGCAGTGACCTGATGTGTGCATGCTTTATTGGAACAACAGGTCAGGAAGGTGGATATGTTGAATGGTGTCACCATTGTTCGATCCGAAAAGGTTAAGGACGAGATCGTTCTCGATGGAAATGACATTGAGCTTGTCTCACGGTCGTGCGCCCTCATCAACCAGGTATTCACTAACCGGCATCTGCTTCTTTCAATTTCCAACATGTTAGTTGAACTGTTGATCAAAAGATTTAGATATTTGATCTGAAGATTCAGTTAATTCTGTATATCTGGTCTGAAACCCTAAAACCGCGAGCATTTGGAGGAAATTGTGCTATCCACATTCCACATTGATCCGGAGTTGTTGGTTTTGTGCTTGAACAGAAATGTCACGTGAAAAACAAAGATATCAGGAAGTTCCTTGACGGTATCTATGTGAGCGAGAAGGGCCGGATCGTGGAGGAGGAATGATTTTCCGGCCATTCAAACCGAAAAATCGCTCTTTTTACATTAGTTTTATCTTTTGGACACCGTGTGCTCCGTTGTGTTTCTGTCCTGGATTTCTTCTCCTTCGTTCTGAAATTTTTTTGGAGACAGCCCCCTTTTCTTATTTGCTGTTATTTATATGGTTAGTGTTTCAATTTGATTGATGACCGAATAATCACCGATCTGAATCCTATAATAACTGAAAACTAAATGAAGTTCAAATAAAAGGAGCAAATTCAATTTTTTGTGAAAACCCAGATTCTATTATCATGGTCTTTTTAGCTTGGCCCTGGATTTCATGTTAGCTACAGGCTTCTCCTATGTTCCCTTTTTAAGCCGTGAAATTCAGTAGGTAGGTGCTTGCTGTTGTCACCCATTCATCGACATATTACAGTTTACAGAATCCATGAAGATAATCAAGAAATGGGATAGAAATATATTTCGGTATAGTGTATTATAAAATATATAAACTTTTAGAAATGATCAATACCTAAATATATATGTACAAATAAAATTGTCTGCTGGATACTCATAAACCGTATAACATAAGGTTTAGGCGGCTTTTCATTTTTGCTTTTTACTCGGTAAAATTAAAATAATTTTTTTTTTTGAATCTAAACGTCGAAAAGAAAAAGAAGGAAAACGAAAGCAAGAAAAGAAGAGAGGAGAGGGGGCCACGCGGCACTAATGGTGTCATCAGTGCACACCTTCTCTTCCCTCTCTCAGATTCCTTCGCTAGAAACCGCACCAAAAACTTCCACCACCTTTTCTCCTCTCTCTCCGTCGTCGCGATTTTTGATCTCTGCAGATTTCAACTTCTTCTCTTTCCTCGTGTTCTGCTCGCTCTGCTGTAAGTTCTCTTCTTGTTCTTCCTTTTTGAACTGGTTGATGTGATTTCAACATCGTTTTCCAGTATGATCGACTTGGTTTTGGCATCGTTATCGTTGTTCTTATGTTGTTCGATGATGATTCTCTGCTTCTGCGTATAACTCTAGGTTTTGATCGGGCTGGATCATAGTTCTTAGCCGTCACGTGTTGTGCTTTACCTCCTTTCTGTGCGTTACATAGGATGGTCAAGTGGTTTAGCCGACATCGTTTCCCGATTCGTTTTGCATGTCTGTTAGAGGAACACCGTGAGCTTGTCGTCTTGATGGTTCTGTTTGTCAGCTTTGTTCTTCTTGCTTGTTTTCTAGGGTTTATACTGCTAAGTTATGGCGGAAGGAGAAGATATTCAGCCACTTGTCGTCGATAATGGAACAGGGATGGTCAAGGTCAGTTCCTTGTTTCTCGTTCCTCTTGGTTCTGTTTCAGGACTGATCGCAATCTCATCTGTGGAAGCGGCTTATGATGAATTACATCGGTTTCTGTATGACAGGCTGGGTTTGCTGGTGATGATGCTCCAAGGGCTGTCTTCCCGAGCATTGTCGGTCGTCCGAGGCATGCCGGTGTGATGGTCGGAATGGGACAGAAAGATGCATACGTCGGTGACGAGGCACAGTCCAAAAGAGGTATTCTTACCCTAAAGTATCCCATCGAACATGGGATTGTCAGCAATTGGGATGACATGGAGAAGATCTGGCATCATACCTTCTATAATGAGCTTCGTGTTGCTCCCGAAGAACACCCTGTTCTCCTTACCGAAGCTCCTCTCAACCCTAAAGCTAATAGGGAGAAGATGACACAGATCATGTTTGAGACTTTCGATGTCCCTGCCATGTATGTTGCCATTCAAGCTGTTCTTTCGCTCTATGCCAGTGGGCGTACTACGGGTTAGTGTGTTCTGTTTGCCAACAGTGTTAGGCATATGTATTTGAGACATGTTTGTAATTCTTTTGCTGTAAATATCGGCTTATATGTTACTAATTTCCTCTTTCTGGTTTCTTTTTGTTCAGGTATTGTGCTAGATTCAGGTGATGGAGTTAGTCATACCGTGCCAATTTACGAAGGCTATGCTCTTCCACATGCCATTCTCAGGCTTGATCTGGCCGGACGTGATCTTACCGATGCTTTGATGAAGATCCTTACTGAGAGAGGTTACTCATTCACCACAACCGCTGAACGAGAAATTGTGAGAGACATCAAGGAGAAGCTTGCCTATGTGGCATTGGATTATGAACAGGAGCTTGAAACTGCTAAATCCAGTTCTGCGATTGAGAAGAGCTATGAGCTGCCTGATGGTCAGGTGATCACCATTGGGGCTGAAAGATTCCGCTGTGCGGAAGTCCTCTTTCAACCATCACTTATCGGAATGGAAGCACCTGGAATTCACGAGACGACTTATAACTCTATCATGAAATGTGATGTTGATATCAGAAAGGACTTGTATGGTAACATTGTGCTCAGTGGTGGATCGACGATGTTTCCTGGAATCGCTGATCGCATGAGCAAAGAGATCACGGCCCTGGCACCAAGCAGCATGAAAATTAAGGTGGTAGCACCACCGGAGAGGAAGTACAGTGTCTGGATCGGAGGTTCCATATTAGCTTCCCTTAGCACATTCCAGCAGGTATGAAAACATTGAACACCTCAACTCTGCTCACTTGTGGAAGTTTAACTGATCAAAATATCAATGATTTTTTGAAAGTAATGATGTCATAATCTTCTCCTGATTGTAGATGTGGATATCAAAGGCAGAGTATGAGGAATCAGGGCCTGCCATTGTTCACAGGAAATGCTTCTAGACAATTCCAATACAAGCGACGCATGGTATATTTGCGGTTTGTGGTTTTGGCTTGTCACGTCGTGTGTGAGTGGCGTATTAAGGATGCCTTTGGTTTAGCTTGGCTTGTTTTAGTTTTGTTCCTCCGTGAGACCGTGTTTAATCATCTTCTTTTCTGTTGTTCCTGTATGTGTGAAGAGAAGTGCAAGTGGTGTGGTCTGTTGTGGTGTGTGTATATGTAAACTTTCACTGTTGCTATTAGATTGTATTTCGGATGTTGAGCTTCATTTTTCCGAGTATTGCAATGTGTGGACCAAGTGTTTATCACCGTAAGAGCCAAGCCAGGTGTAATGGGCATTAACAGGCAACTCTTTGGTGTGGAGTTTCGTTGCCTCCGCCCAAAACAGCAGTGTATTTCCACAGCTAAGAACCTTATGTATAACCAAAATGAGTATTGATATAAGGAACAAATCTGAGAAAATCACTAAGCTGCATCTGCTACATCGTTTCCAGGAATAGCCATTGTTGCCTGGGAAGCTGCAGCTTCTCTCATGTGACCATGGAGGGGAAGAGGACAAGGCCGCGGCAAACTGGGCAAGAGAAATGGGAAGACAACCACTGCTCAATTCATCTGTCATGAAGCCATGGTTACATCTTTGTCCGTACCTTCACTTCTTCTCCTTCCTCAAACTTTGACAAGCAAATTGTACATTCTCTGTGTTGCTGCTAGTTTCAGCTCCGTGGAATACTTCAACGTGGGAACTACCTCCAGAAGCCGAGCAGCAGCTGCTTTGCCACCGAACTTCTACTGGTCAAGCTTTTGTTGAGTAAGTGGATAAGCTGTTCGAGCTCGAAAGATCGTCTGAGAAGCAGCTGGAGAAACATGGAGGATGGTAATTGATACAACTAGTAGAAGAAAACCTGTTATTCTGATTGACCAAGAATTATGGAAGAAAGAAGAGAAACGTGGTTATGATCCACGGCCGCTCAGGTACATAATCCATTACTCACTACACTTGTCTTGCCATCAAAGGTAATCTCACCTCCTATTTATGGATGCTTCACCTCTCTCTCTCTCTCGCTAAATATATATATGTTTTCACGTGTTTACGTATATATGTGTTAAACAAACAACTTTAGGGCTGAATCGACAAAGGTAGTGAGAGGGGTCAGCATCGCCTATGTGGGACAGGAAATTCTGACCGAATTCATTTTTATCTCTATAGAGTATGATCCATTTATCTCTCTCTTTTTATAAAGTATAACAACAGGGGAAAAAGACGGGGGCCTAATAATTTGTATAGTCAAAAGACATGGGGCCACGTGGAAATCTTGTTTATTTCACCTTGACTTTGCTTGAAGGTTCCATTTTTAGCTAGCTTTTTGCTTGTGTTTTTTCTTTTAGCTGAAAAGAAAAAGATTGGCATGGCAAATCATTTATAAATATAGAAGTGGAGACGGGGATCGGGAATGGCCATGCAAGCATTTGGGTACATGGAAACACGAGATTCAAAGGAGGGTGAGGAGGAAAATGAGGCTGGTCAATCTCCTGCTAAATCTCAAATATTATTTCCCTCTCTTTAGACCACGTCTAATTAGTGTTCTAGGCTTTTTGCTACAGAATAAATACATCTCTCCTTTTATACCATAATTCAGATAAAAGTTGTGTTATCTCCTACTTTCTGTGATGGTGGAGAGCTTTTGATATTGCTTTTCCTCGTGCTTCGAGTTCCACTATTCTAATTGTTGAACAGACTGGATCTGTCTTTCCTCTGTGTCCTGTACTTTGTTTCACCTTTCTGAGATAAAGTTGCCGTCCTTGCAGTGCAGTTACAGCAGTTCTCCGAATGGCGAAGGAGAACAGTGGATCGCCAAAGCCTCATCACCTAGCAGATTCCAGGAAGAAGAGACTCACGTGGATTCTCGGTGTCAGCGGACTCTGCATATTGTTTTACGTTCTCGGTGCGTGGCAAAACAACACCATCCCCACCTCTCCATCAGAGGTTTACTCAAGAGTGGGATGTGATAATCAATCCCCGCCTTCATCCTCATCTTCTTCCAGTTCGTCATCCAGACCAGCTGAGTTTGATTTTGACAGCCATCATCAGCCCAATCTCAAGGAAACGAGCCCATCCGATAAGCAATTTCCGCCATGTGACATGTCGTTCAGCGAATATACTCCATGCGAGGATCGGCAGAGAGGGAGAAGATTCGATAGGAACATGTTGAAGTACAGGGAGAGGCATTGTCCTACGAAGGATGAGCTTATGTATTGTCTTATCCCTCCTCCTCCAAAATACAAGATTCCGTTCAAGTGGCCCCAAAGCCGAGACTACGCTTGGTATGACAACATTCCCCACAAGGAACTCAGCATTGAAAAGGCTATCCAAAACTGGATTCAAGTAGAGGGTGACCGTTTTAGATTCCCTGGTGGGGGCACTATGTTTCCACGTGGAGCCGATGCTTACATCGATGACATTGCTCGGCTCATTCCTCTTACTGATGGAGGCATCAGGACAGCTATTGACACGGGTTGTGGAGTAAGTCAATCAACCTTGCGGCATATTTAGTACCGTGGTTCTTTCCCCTCTTTGCGAGACCATTACTTATTTGTCATTTTTTGTGAATTCTCAGGTTGCAAGTTTTGGAGCGTACCTCTTGAAGAGGGATATTATTGCCATGTCATTTGCGCCAAGAGACACTCACGAAGCGCAGGTCCAATTTGCGCTTGAACGGGGAGTTCCTGCAATAATCGGCATAATGGGATCAAAGCGGCTTCCTTATCCAGCTAGGGCCTTTGATCTTGCTCACTGCTCCCGTTGTTTGATTCCTTGGTTTAAGTACGGTAATAAATACCTTCTCTGTTGCTGATCTCAAGTTCTTGAATTGATGTTAAGGGAAACTTGTACCGGAAGGAACATAACTAAATCTTTACAGATGGTTTGTACCTGATTGAGGTGGACCGGGTTCTGAGACCGGGTGGCTATTGGGTCCTTTCGGGTCCTCCGATTCACTGGAAGAAGTACTGGAGAGGCTGGGAAAGAACCGAGGAAGATTTGAAGCAAGAGCAAGATTCTATAGAAAGCGTGGCCAGGAGCCTTTGCTGGAAAAAAGTGACCGAAAAGGACGACTTGTCGGTCTGGCAGAAGCCTATCAACCACGTTGAGTGCAATAAGCTTAAGCGAGTTCATAAAAATCCACCTATATGCAACTCAGAGAATCAAGATTCTGCTTGGTAATCTCACCCATTGAAGAGCTCTTCTACTGTCACATTCTTTCTGAGAAAAAAACCGAAACTTGTGATTAATATATTTGTTGTCTCTATCTCTGCTTGTAAACGCCTGAAAGGTACACGGACTTGGAACCGTGCATAACATCATTGCCAGAGGCAAGTACTCCAGAGGAATTCGCAGGCGGTTCATTGGAGGACTGGCCCGACAGAGCATTCTCTGTCCCGCCCAGAATCAACCGGGGAACGATACCGGGAATCAACGCGGAGAAATTCCGAGAGGACAACGAAGTATGGAAGACAAGGGTGGCACACTACAAAAAGATAATACCAGAGCTGTCTCGTGGGAGATTCAGGAATATAATGGACATGAACGCTGATCTCGGGGGCTTTGCCGCAGCAGTGCTGAAGTATCCTGTTTGGGTGATGAATGTGGTGCCTGTGCACTCGGAGAAACAGACTTTAGGTGCAATCTACGAGCGTGGACTGATCGGAACATACCAAGACTGGTGCGAGGGTTTCTCGACATATCCAAGAACGTATGATCTTATTCACGCCGGTGGGTTGTTCAGCTTATACGCCAGCAGGTAATAAAAAAAACCACAAAAACCAATTTCTACGATTTCATTTAAACACCTATCAGTTGATGTTCGATCTTCCGCTTGAGTTAAATTTTGGATGAAGAAATTGAAGCAATGGGTTTAGCGGGAAGAAAGTTTGAAATCTGAAAACGCAGAATCTATAGTTACATACACAAATATATTTAGAGATATATATATACATACGAATATTAGGTGTAGATGGTGACCGTTTGGCGTTTGTCTATGGCAGGTGCGACATAACGCTGATACTGCTGGAGATGGACAGAATATTGAGGCCAGAAGGAACGGCTGTGTTCAGAGACGATGTGGAGACACTGACGAAGATACAGAGCATAACGAACGGGATGAGATGGAAGAGCCGTATTCTTGACCACGAGAACGGTCCGTTTAACCCCGAGAAGATCCTTGTCGCCGTCAAAACTTATTGGACCGGTGATGATCCCACTTCCCAGGATCATTCCAACTAGTTCCTCAAACCTTGGAACTCCCTCTTTTTGTTGTCTTTTTCAGTTATTATTATATTACCATCATTTGTGAAGATGGATGCAGGGAAACTAGAGTTAATTTAGAAGGTCTCCACCTGAAAAGTACAATTATGGACCCCGTCTTTAGATTGAATAGATTTTTTCCCCCTTTGTTCTGTAAAAGATGTGGTGTAATTCGTAAACTGATCGTATTTTTGTCAAATATACGAGAACACACGTGTCACATACATTGGGTGGGCAATGGACGGTTCCTCTCATAAGTTTTTGGTTCTCCTTCCTCTGTTATCGATGAAGTAAAAGATTTACATTTCCATTGAATGCAGAGACATTGAGGGATTCAAGAAGATTTACGTTACATTTTATGGCGGTGTGGTCGTGTCAGCCAATTTCGGCATATTTACATTACTTTGATTTTATATAGCACCACCAAATGGACATTTCCGTACCTTGGTTGACCAATCCTAATGATATTTAATTTTGTTTGAAATCCAATTGCGTATACTTTTAAAAAAAAAATTAATCAAATCTGCATTAAATAAAAAAACAAAATCAGAATCATTTTACAAATATATTTTTTCAATGAAAATAAACTCAAATCCAATACGAACAAAAACTAAACCTACTGAAAATCTAACATAAAAGCTAAACATATATAACTTTTTAAAATAAAAAGGTGAATAATTAAATAAAAAAAACCCAAACACCCATCTTTAATTCTTGATGGAGACAGTACATATAATCAACATTACCGTGAAATCTTTTTTTTGTTGATAACAAATAAAAACTGTTTATACGGAGTCCAACTAGTTCCTAGATTGGGGAATCCCCTATCTCTATTGTTGGTTGAGAACTCACTTCCCAAGTGAGGTCATGAGTACAATATCCAGAATATGGAGATTCCCCTTTCGCCTGCCGATTTCGGTCGATTTATACCCATGTGTATGTTGCAGCCTTGCAGACTCGTATGCGTAGGCCGGGATTAGTGTGGGTTCTTGATCCGGAAAACCCGACTTACCAAAAAAAAAAAAATAGTTCCTAGATTTTTTTTTTTTTTTTTTTTTTGAAAA